TCTCAGCTAAACGTTTAGGCTTAATCATTTTTTTTACAATTTAGCTACCTTTCCATGCTCCTGCTAGGCTGTATAAAGGCAATATTTGCCCTTTACCTCTTACAGAGTACATTTATTGACTAAAGAGGTTATTAGGGGATTACTGGAGAGCTCCAAGATCAAATGCAGACTTACTGCAAGCTTGAAGGCTAAATCTGCAATTATGTACTTCCACTATCGTTCTTAGTAGTATGTCAATTATCTTTGTCACTATAAAAGCCTTAAATCGAATCTCTGGGAAGTTGACAAAATCTAACCTTACAGTGGGATCCTCTCCACAATGCAAGGGTTAAATGCTTGGTAAGTCTAGGGGGAGCTGAAGAGGCTCTATTACTTAGCATAAGATGGATCATAATTTGTCTGGTTGAGCAGGGGCCATCTGAATTTCAATCCATCTATTGCCAGTCTCACTAAAGAAAAGTCAATCTAACAATTGGCTTTTCTCAAATGGGAATAGTGGGACTTTTTCATTCAATCAGCAGTGCAGCCAATTGGCTACAGCACTGATCAGTGTATTCTGACAGTGGAGGAGTCCAGCTATCAGAATACAACGGCAAAGTGAGGAGATTTCCTTCAGCCACCTTGAATATGTGGATGGAGAAGTCAGATTTTTTTTAACAGCCGGCTGGCTGATCAAAAAACGAAAAAAAAAAAAACAATCCATCTATGTCCATCTTTACACCTCACTCCAGCCAGCTTTAGCGCTCTACTCCTCTCCCTTTTATGCCCTTAGCTATGGGAAGTCCCTTGGCCTCATCAGGTACAATTCAGGGTTATTAACCCTACATTGCACATTGGGAAGAAAGGTGTGCAAGTCCATCCAAAATGCCTTAGGGAGGCCACACGGATGGAGGGAGCCTACAAAAGCAGACCTAGACTTAACAAGCAGTTAACCCTTGCCGTGCTGGGGAGGGGGCAATGCAAGTGTAGATTTTGTCTAACTCCTGGAATTGGGCTTTAAATTGTGTACATTGAATGTATTATTTTGCACTCTGCCCCATCACATTGACATTCCTGTCCTATATAACAGCCAAACTGTGCTTTTTTCTATGTATTTGGTATTATGCCTATCCTGCTTTCACTTGTACATGTTTTTAGGAGTTTATAGACAAATAAAGTTTTATTTTCAAGCTACTGAACGAGTGGCCCAAGTAAAGTGATATTCAATGTTTTGTACTGAAGGTTTTTTCTTAGCAAAGAGAGGATATTCTAGAACAGAACACTTATATACAATTGTAACTCCATATTGTGCCAGAGCTTCTGGTTGGGTTAAAGGAAATCTGTCATAATGGGTGCATATACACTGTCATGCTGACCCTTTGCTTTCAATACTTTGAGTCAATGACCCTAAACAAGTACACAGATATGGACTTGCATATTTTTTCCAACTTTTCTGATCTGTATACTTGTTCCAGGCCCATGGGTCAGAAAGTAATAAAGTAGCTTAAAATGATGGCAAGGCAAATACTACAATCAAACAGAGGTCTAGAGTGGCCACATCTGTATTCCTCCCCTGACAGGTTTACTTCAACTATTTTGTGACAATATTATGCCCTCAGGCACCATGCCCTATTCTAGGAGAATGTTAATTAACGTTGCAGCAGAGAACTAGGAAAGTGCAACTGTGCTCTTTATTAATTCTTAGACCCCACTGTCAAGCTGACAAATTAGTCATAGAGTTATAATCAAGTTAGCAGACTGTGACACTGCTAAATTTGGTCTGAGCACCTAGGCTTCAATGACCTCTGGTAACAAAAGCATTAAGCTCATAAGAATTGCTGAAAACAAAGCTGGGTATTTTGGTGTTCCTTTCCTAAAAAGATTACTTGGTTCTTTATCTCTTATTTTTTGGTCATATTATAATTTGTATATAACCTATTTATTTTTCTTCTATGATGTTAATATGCATTAGCTCTAGTTAGCATGCTAAAATGTGTATATTTTTTATTGCAGATATAAATACTGTCTTTTCATTACCTTTTTGGAATCTATTATAGCTGTTACTGTGATCTTGTTATATTTTCTTTCTAAACACCGCCTAAGAGGTATGGGTAAAATTCATCTGTTCCCAGTGTTTGAGTACCTTTACATTATCCCAAAAAGTATGAAATGGTAATAATCTCATAGATGTTTGCATTTGATTTTCCTGTACAGTTTTAAAGAAGAAGGTCTCATTTAAAGTCAAAATCTTATTTTAAAATTAGATGTTGAACAGAAATCAGTTAATCCTTTTCCTGGATTGATACATTTTCAGGTCAGACCAGGGCATCAGTATTTTAAAAGGCTAAACAAAAACTGAAAACGTTCTGGTAATAAAAGGGCAATGGCTAAACTACCTACACACTTAAGCCCCTTTTAGATGGGGTGGGTTCTGTTCTGATCAGCAGGAGATCAGCTCACAGATCCCTCCTGATCGGAGCAGAGCAGGCTGGTGACACATCCATGTCCACTCAGTTTCTGCAGAGCTGACATGCACAGAGCTCACGCTGCTCTATGGACGGCTGACTCCACAGTTCATTTGCACCCGGCTACCCTCCCATCCGCCTAAATGGAAATAGGATGAATCCCTTTCTGTTTTTTTCTGTTTATTTATTGCATTTTATGCGGAAGGATTGCATGGACCTTATGGTCAGGTCTGCATAACAAAAAACCGATAGGTGGACCTGAACGGATTGCCCGTGTGAAAGAGGCCTTAAAACTGAACTCTGCCTTGTCTTGCAGTTATACGAGCTCCCCCTCTGTACTGAAATTGCTTGCTCTGGTTTCACTGTAAATTATTACCTTCTCGCAGTGTGGAATAGAAGCTGAAGGAAGTCAGTTATCTAGCCCTTTCCTCACCAGCTGTGGTATCCTTGACTGCCCCTTTAATTAATTGAATTTCAATTCTTTTAATCATAGAGGTTCAGCATCATACGTGGGAGTTACCTGTGGTGGTCTGCATGCAAATACAGTCTACCTAGGTACACCCACTTATCCAGGCTGACATGCACTCATCAAGGAATTTTGCTATTTGCAAAACTTCTCCCAAGAGCCAACTCACTGCTTATGTCAGGGCCTAGAGCTCTTGAGAGAAGTACTAAGGCAGGGTGCTGCAATGTGTTCCGGAATCTATGTACAGCATCCTGTTAGCCCCTCCCACTAGACAAGATTAGTTTGCATTGCATAAAGAAGGAGTGTTTAACTGATGACATCACTTGATCTAAAAGAATGTATGTAATGAAAATTCCAAGGTTTAGTTTAAAGCTTTTATTAGCATGTTTATTAAAGGGGGAGGGAAGAACCAAGGAGGGCAAAAAAGCTTTAAAATATACCTTGCACTCTATAGAAAAAAGTAAACACTTGGGGTGGTTAGTTAAAATACTTACTTTTCCACTGGCTTTCATTCTACAGGATGGTGACCTCAGCATTCTTGGTATGGAAGTGGGAAGAATGTAAGTATAATAACTTTTTGCTCCAACGGGTGCTGGTTTTAATTTTTTTTAGATAGGCTTTGAGACCAAACTAAATAATCAGATATTGCTATTTAAAGAAGTGCTTCAGTCTTGTTAACAAAAAACAAATGTAGCTGCTGACTTTTAAGGACACTTACCTGTCCAGGGATCCAGCACTATCCTCACCCAATCAGGTTCTTTACTGGTCTTCACAGTCACTTTCCACTCCACATGTGCTCTTTGTGAATGGTCCCATAGCCTCTTGGGCCCTGTCCCAAGAGGTTGCTGGCAGGGAGGGGAGGGGGGACAACTTCCGATGGAATTGCCTAGGTGATTCCAACGGAAGTAGGGGCGAGTACCTGCCAAAACTAGGTAGCCCCTTCCCCCTAAAAAGCAAACGTCCAATATTGTTGGGGGAGGAGGGAGGTATGCTAAAAAGGGGAACTTCCCTTTTCGGGGGAAGTTCTGCTTTAACTGCAAGATCCTCTGTAAAATGGTGGCAAGCTGTGCATGCATGATCTGGCCCTGGCAAAAATTGTCTCATACAAAAAAATCATTCAACAGATACACACATTTACATTGGTACAACCTATATTTATGTGCCTATTGAAGACAGGTAGGAAGTACTGACCTATTTTAAGGGGACTTAGTAAGAAAATCCTACCCAAAAAATGGACTCATCTCTGCAGCAAAGAGCTTCCAGGCATTTCTTTGCATCTTGCTCAGAACTGGCTTCTACTGCGCTGTTTGAAGAATAGGTTTGCCTGATTCTAAATCCACTTTTACTTAAAGTGATATTAAAGGCAATATTTACAAAAACAAATACTTACCTGCTCTGTGCAATGGTTTTGCCAGAGCAGTCTTGATCCTCCTCTTCTCGAGTCCCCAGCCGGGGGCTCCTGGCCTCTCCCTCCTGCCAAGTGCCCCTATAGCAAGCAGCTTGCTATAAGGGTACCCAAGCAAGCTCAGCCCCACCCCCTTTCTCTCCTGATTGGCTGTGATTCACACAGCAGCAGGAGCCACTGTCTCAGCCAATGAGAAAGGAGAGTCCCTGAAGAGCCGAGGCTCTCATGCACATCGCTGGATAGCATAGAATGCACAAGGTAAAAAGATTGAGGCTTTACAACCACTTTAACCTAAGGCAGGCCATAGATTATGCAATTTTGTTTCCTGCAACCATGGATTGCAGGAAATAAAATTCCTGGGTTCCCCATCAACACATCCAGTGGTGTTAGGAGAATCCCTCCTGTGGAGTGGGGGGAGCAGGAAGAACTGGGAGAACAATGATTATTGCCAGCGGATCACGGTGCTGCACGCTCCCAGGGAGCGTGCACAAGCAGGGAGCGGGGAGGTTGTTTATAAACAGCCACCCGCCCCTGCACTGCTTAAGTGGTTAATATCTAACCTGTTCATTTATTATAACTCTCTGCTTACTTGTGGAAGGTTGCTTGTACCTACATACCACACCCACTGACCTTGTTTCAGCATAGACTGGCTTCCTCTCACCACTTACAAGGCGGAAATACTCACCAGGTTCTCAATGGAATGTTGATATTGCTCGATTTCCCGCATGGTTTCTGTGTCTCGTTTAACCTCATTCACATATTGAGCTAAATCCTGCAACACAAAACAAAAGCATTAGGTGTAATGTGATTTTTTTTTGTCCTATTAATGTTTTTTTGGGATATCCAAGTGAATCTGATTACTGCAATGTAAGTAATTAATTAATGTGTTCAGATTTTGAAAACCTTCTATGTACAGTTTGAATTATTACATGTACAAAGGAGTAGTCATGTTTGCTTAGTACATATAGTATGCTGGCTGTTCTCTATAGCGGTACTGAACAGTGATTATGCTTTTATAATTTTCTATCTCAGTTAATTTACCAATCAGGTATGGCTGATAGGAAGCAACACACCCTCCTTGTAGCTCAGATTTCTTGATCAAGGAAGCTCAATGACTGCATAATCTACAGATGTCACTAAAGCAGGGGTCTCCATACTTTCTAAGTAAAGGGCCAGTTTCCTGGTCTTGAGACTTTAGGGGGGCCAGATTGTGACCAGTGGAAGTAGAAAATGCCCCAGCATCAGTAAGCATAAACATTGCCCTTTCATTGAATTTAATGGGAGGAATAGTGCCCCATGGTTGTATTAATGAGAAAATTAATGCCCCACCAATACTGTCAGTGGGAGGAATAGTGGCCCATCAATGATGTCAGTTTGTGGAATAGTGCCACAAGGGCCAGATAAAGGCAAGCCAAGGGTCACATCAGGCCCCCGTTTGAAGACCACTGCAGTAGAGTGAGGACCTACAAATTTGTAAATATGTACACAAATACATGCACATATAATTGCTTTTATGCAATAACTCAAGGTGAAGTAGTTAAAAACAATCTGGAGTAATAGCTCACACCTCAGCCTTAGAGGTGTGCCAACTCTACAGCTTCCCCCTTCCCACTGTGCAAAATCAACCGTTTTAATAAACTAATTTTGCCTTTCCTTAACCAATAAAATAATTTTGAAAATGCAATCGCATGATCTTCAGTGAGGAATGATGTTTCTTCATCACTCTGTAGTGACATATCTGCCCCTTGATGACTAATTACAGTGGCATAAAGGTGTATGTATGGCTAAGAACAGGGACAGTCACAGCAGTGAGTGGAAGAAAGATTGTACAGTAAGAAAAATTGTTTTTTCTTTCTCATTTATTGAGGGACACATGAATTCAGAAACAGTCAGGACATCCAAATCGGTACAACTGAGGGATGGGCAAGAACTACTGAAAGACTCCTGATACTGGGAATTGTTTGTAATATAGAAGTGCCTGAAAGATCAATGCCAGAAAAGTTGAACCCTAGCAAGACGAAAGAACTGTCATTACCAAGGGGAAGCCCCAGAGGACTGACCTGGTGCACTTAGCCAGCAAAGAGATTTCACCAACAAGAGGAATGACAATAGTTGAGAAACACTGACATTGCGCAGCTGTAAGAACCCACAGCAACCCAGATGAACAAGTTGTCTTTGTGAGATTTCACCCCTTCTTACACAGTTTATGAGATTAAAGTTACCACCAGCACAGGACAGAGAGCCACACTAGTTAACTCAAACTAGGATATTAGTAGGTACTTGCATTGGTGTAAGTGGGAAGGAGCTATAAAAGACCCAAGGCTTAGAAAAGCAAGATTATCCTCTAGGAGCTGGATAGTACGCACTGCATCTATATGGTCTGACACAATAGCTTGTAAAACTGGCCATCTACAGGTGATGATGGTTAGTCACCCGGGACAGACTGCTGCGACTTTGAATCAGACAGAGCCACATGGCCAGCTTAAGCTGAGGTCTCGGGGTGTTCTACTGGGGATGGTGGCAGAGATCATTTAGTACCTCTACGGCAGAATGTCCCAGGATCTCAGCACAGACAGATAGGAAGTCCAAAGTGTACATGGAAATCCCTGTGGACAGGGCAGCCATCAGAAATTTTGGGGCCCCTTACACAGAGTTCTTTAGTGCACCCATTTTTATTTAACACGTTTACAACTTAATATATGACAATGAAGAGTGTATTCTAAGTCATGAGTGCTTTTAAGATTTACCAGTAAGGAATTATATTTTGGCCAAAATTATGAAGCCTGCCACCACTACTAGGTAGACTCTTTTGAACAGGACCCTACACTAACGCTAACTGCACTACCTTTACAAAGAGACAGCCCTATCCGACAAAAAGACAGCCCAATCCAGCAAAGAGACAGTCCCATATATTTAGCAAAGACACTCCACAATCCAGCAAAGAGACAGCCCAATCCAGCAAAGAGACATCCCCATATATTCAGCAAAGATACAGCTCAATCCGGAAGGGAAAGCCCAATCCAGCAAAGAGACAGCCCAATCCAGCAAAGAGACATCCCCATATATTCAGCAATGAGATATCCCAATCCAGCAAATAAGACATCCCAATAAATTCAACAAAGAGACATCCCAATCCAGCAAAGAGACAGCGCCATCCAGCAAAGAGACATTCCCATATATTCAGAAAAGAGACAGCCCAGTCCAGCAAAGATACATCCCCATATATTCAGCAATGAGACTTCCAAATCTAGCAAAGACACAGCCCAATCCAGCAAAGAGACATCCCCATATATTAGGCAAAGAGACATCCCAATTCAGCAGAGACAGTCCAATCCAGAAAGAGACATCCCAAACCAGCAAAGAGACTCCCCATATGGCAAAGAGGCTCCCCACATAGCAAACATCCACTAAGCTTGCACAAAGTTCTGCATCTTTTGCAGGCTGTACTATGCTGTATAAAAAGTGCAGTGTGTATAAAGCATCTGTACCTGAGACTAAGGATGTTCCCATGACATTCCCAATCCTGTGCCTCCTGGCCCCTCCCCCTGGTCTTCATCAGCTCCTCCCCCCTCACAGTTCAGCATCGATTGTCTCCATGCAGGACCCTGGCTAAGGAGGGATCCCACTGTGCTATTCCCATTGCTGTGCCTGATGTCTCCTCCCTCTATTCTCACTCGGCTCCTCAACAACTCCACAGTTTAGCTGTGATTGTCTGAGTGCTGGAGTGGTGTTTCTGCTATTGCCCAGGAGCAGGAGGCTATTCATTGTGGGGCTGGAGGGAGAGAAGCAGGTAGAGGCAGCTAGGTAAAGGTGTGAGTGCCAGGTCCCTCGGGGCACCTGGGCACCTACATGTGTATGGGCTCTCCCCCCTGATTGCGGCTCTGTCTATGGATATAGGTTAGACCTTGGCCATACCCAACAGAGCTGAGACCAACCCTAAAACAGCAGTGGTCCCAGGGATGATGTATGCCAGTTTCTTCTGGGAGTACTTGGTAAAGACTCCCAGGCCACTAGGGTAGTATTAGCTGAGGTCACCCATGTCAGCAGGATTGTCCTTGTGTGTTTTAGCAAAGACATGTCGTGACCAAACTGTGGTATACAACTAGGCCCAAAGCGAGAAAAGTCCTCAAATACTCACAAACCCATGCAGCTGGTGCTGATGAGGGTTAAGGGAGCCAGGGATGATTAGGTTACTGTACAGTTGAAAAAGAACAGAGAGCAGAAATCCCTATGGTGATTAAAGAGCAGGAGCGGCAGCAGGATGATGCTTCCTCCATGTCTGAAAGCGAGTGCAGATGTGCAGCATACCAATCAAAGAAATGACTTCAGTATCCTAACCCTTACTGTGGTAAACCAGCAGTAGCAGGAAATTTAACACAATGCACAAAGGTGCAACAGTGAGATAGGTCCCAATGCAGACAGACCAGCTCAAGCAGCAGCGTAGCAAGAAATCTTGATTAGGTCGACAATGAAAAAATAACCAGCAATGTAACAAAAATCTTGATGGAAGTCACCAAGACTTACCACAAACTTGGAGGACTTCCAAAAATTTGCAATTGTTTTCAGAAGAGATAAAGAAATTACATCCAACCTCCTAGCATACTAGCAAAAAAACTAAAACACAAGGCAAACAAAACATTTGCTTAGGGCGGCATTTTTCAGAGGGGCAGTAGCATTTTTCAGGGGGGAAGTGCCCCCCAAAAGAAGGCGCTTGAAGAAGGGACACACGCAGCATGGGGACCAGGTGGGATCTGAGAGATGCTGCGGGAGCTGCTTGATGGTGTATGCAGAGCCTGACTCTTGTTCCTGGGGATGTCCGGAGCTGTGACGGTAAATGTCTTCTCTCTCACCGGGTGGTGGGGGTTGTCGATGTATGTATGTTTGCCAGTGTCTCAACCTTGTATGCGGCAGTATAACTTGACTGTTTCTGAATTTCTTTGTCTCAAAATTGAAAAGAAAAAAACATTTATTTTTCAGATTTAGGATGGAAGTGATAACATTAAAATGCCTTTGTATATAGTTTAAAAAAAAAGCAGAAACAGACCATGGTGTATCAGGTCAAGCCTAATTAAAATCTGGGGCTATTGTGTTATTGTTGGTCCACATAAAGAGAAAATCACACACCAAGGAGACAGCTGCCAACCTCTGCTCAAAGTAGGGGAGAAACAGAAATTCTCATACATACAGTACAGCAAATGACTATTTAAACAAATACAAATTCATGTTTTTGCTGAATGTGTCAGTTTATAGATTAATGTTATAAAATGATAACAATTCCACTTAGCACCAGCTATATTGAAAATTACTCTGCAGTGCCCAAGCACAGAGCAGTGTCAAGATATCCAGCATCTTTCAGCTTCTTGACAACTGACAGGCTGCTCTATATAACAGAAAGGGAGATTTAAGGCCAACAAAATCTTACTTGGGAATGGTAGTATGAATGTAAAAAACTGTGCAGTGTCTCAGCCATTCTCACAATACTGTGATCTGGTCTCAAGTATGATAGCTTAAATTAACGGTTTTAGAAGATTACTGTAATTCAGTAATCCAATCCAGCAATCAAGAACCAACCTATAAAAACAGAATAGAGCTAAAGTGAATAAAACAGATACCTTCATTGCATCAAGTGACAAACGCAGGTTATTTTTTTCTGTATCATCAGTAGTGTGTTTAACCAGTTCCTGAAAGAAAGCGTACAATGCATCACATGGATTCAACACTAGTGATATATTACCAGGGAATACAGATCTCCCTTCTGACATTAGTAACTGCAACACTGACAATAAAACAATTCAAAGTTTAATTTGGTAAGAGACTGAGAGATGCAAAAAGGTTAGCTTGACTGTGTTATAATAAAGAATTCAGACAGTGGCAACAATATATAGAAAGGCAGATTTAGTAACTGACCTAGCTTTGTTTTTATTTTTTCCTAGAACAGAGGTATTGGCTCATACCACTATGATATCTCTAGATCCCAATGATCTAAAATGACCTAACAGAGGTTCAGCCTCAGCTGTATTTTCTCAATCTTACTTCTATAAACTTCACCAAAACCTGTCTGATGATTTGTAAGACTGATTCAGTAAAGCAAAGCAAATAAATTCCAAATAAAACTGAGCCATTAATAAAGGTCAAGCACAAATACATTCAGTCTGCACCTTTCTTATCAGAATCCTCTTTAAATCAGGCTCCAAATCAGTCTCTCCTTACATCAGAGTCCACATGAGAGTCCTTCCTTACATCAGGGTCCCCATCAGAATTCTACTTAAATGAGAGTCATCAAATGACCCGTTACACAGAGTCCTCCTTATGTCAAAGTCCACAACAGAGTCCCCCCTTAAATCAGGGCATACTTTTTATCATCATACTCCCACTTTATATCAAGGTCCCCATCAGAGTCCTCCTTCTATCAGGGTCCCCTTTATCGCCCATTCTTGTTGCCCACAAATGTACTAATCAGTAAATGTAATCCTGGTTTGTTCTCCCCACACATTGTTCTTTTCATTTTCTCTGCTCTCCTAAGAATATACCATATTTGATTTCTGCAGCTGTTCTCACAGAAAGGAATTCCCACCTATTTTGAACAGAGCGAGCTTTTAATTTGTGCTGGCCCAGGAGCAGAATTTCAAGATGTGATAAACTATGTCACCCCAGTAGTGAAATTTCCTCTTAGCAGCTTCTAAAGCATGCTGGGAATTATAGGATATTATATATTATATATTTTATGTATTTCTAACATTATATATTTACAACAGGAATGAGAACCATACAATCATTATAACAATTATTATAGCATTAGATATTTACAACAGGAACGAGAACTGCCTGATACATGCATGTTTGGAAGTAATAATAATATTATTATTGGTATTATTAATAATAATAATAAAGTCAGATACACAAGACTTTCTGCAGCTCTTTTAACAAAAGAAAAATAAAACTGTAAATAACTAAATAAATGTAACCATTAAAAAAAACATGAGTATTCTTCTGCTTTAAGTTTAAGATTCGACTCCAATCTATCCTAACCTAAAAAAAAGATTGTTTTGTGTGGAGTTAACCTTCATACACGTTACAATCTGACCATGCAAGCCATGAAGTTTTGATACAAAAGTGTGTAGTCTCAAATAAGGTCTAATCTGTTCTTACATTCTGGAAGAGCTCCTATAAAAAAGGGATTGGAAAAACTGTTTTGTTTTTTTTTATATTGGATCTAAGAAGATTGCAATGCTGGCTATATACATCAAAAAATCTTCTTTCAGTGGTTATTGCTTACATTTTCACTGTGGGAAATTATTTCTGTATATATTTCAATCTTACTTTAGAACACCATATTATCAGATTGTAAAATATGGTCAGCTTTATATACAGATATCGATTATGGCCATTCCACATTTGTTCATCAGTGACCTTCTGCTGGAAATATAATCTTTGCATTTTTATAGGTTGCATATTGAGCAACATGCACTCTTTAAAGTAACTAATATTCGAATCAATCACTGATCAAGGAAAAATGAATTCACATTGCAGCCAGGGAATAAGAAATTAAATTGGTACAATATTTTTGAACAAGGATGCAATTACATCATATTTTTTGATAAATGACATATGGCAATATTGTATAAACATTTAGTTAATACAATGTACTTCATGCAAGGTGTGTTGCACAAGCAGCTGAAAACATTTATTTTGCTCCGGGATGAGGGGGTAGCTATATATCTGCTGTGTCAACTGTCCGTTACCAATTTTGAAAAATGCATTGTAACTTAGGCGGTTTGTTTATAAAAAAAGTTGCATATTCATTGATCCAGTAAATTTCCATGTACATTCGATCTGTGCAAACTGGGCAAAAACAAATGCTATTTGGGTTATTTACTCAATTTTTCTGAATGAATGTTCTTTTATTATAGGCAATGGTAAAATACTGCATTGTGGCCACTAGATGGAGCTGGAGAGCATAGAAAATACATAGGTCTTAGCATGGTTACATTTGTTTGCTAATGCCCTCTAGAATAGTTACACTGGGGTCACGTTGATAAAGGAAAATAGACTGTTCACTTTGCAAGGGAAGTTGCACTATGTAAAGAAATTTTCCCTAGTAACTTAATGAATGAAGTGAAGTTCGTCTGACATTACTGGCCTGTCTATTCAACTCCTCCAATCGGAGAACGCATTGCATTCATTCAGAAAAGGCAAAGCATTCTCTGAATAGTGCCCAAGCTGACCAGCCACTCTCCTATGTCCACAATGCACCAGGCTGGCTGGGGCCCAGAAGCAAGTGGAGATCACTGGAGTAGCAGTGTTTTCTAGCTGTCAGGGGCATCAGCCACGTATGGTGTATTCAAGGGTTCTTCTGAAAGTTTCCACACGGTATTTTAACTCTATTAACTATACAAAAGTGCGGAAATGTTTTGAAAATCCCTCGTACGTAGTTACACTGGTCCAAGATGGACCAATGTAGCTATATAAAAATATACCATGCCTAGAATTCTTCTTTAAGATATGGAATCAAGAAAATATGAGGTCTCTAGAATATAAAGCTTTACAAATAAAAAGAAAAAAAATGCACACATATTTTCAGTTATTGGATAGGTCTACTGGGTTTGAAATGGAAAAACACAAGGTGCTATTAAGAGTACTTTTCTACACAAAACAAGTCTTTTTTTAAGTCTATACATTTTAAAAGCTGAGACTATGGCCAGGGATTATACAGACCAGTAAGTGGAATTATGAGCCAGATTCATAGGGAAGAAGATTCTTTGTTCCATACATTAATAACTTCCTTGCCTCTGTGGCTACTCTGCAAATATTGAAACTGGTATAATTTGAGAATGCAAAAAGGAGGAATAAATAAAAAGGTCTCCTCTGAGTGTAGTTTGTTCCGTAGGCTAAAGCAGCACCTGTTTGTCAAAGTGACATTTCCCCGGCATCAGCAGCAGGTTAGAGACGCAGCAAGACTTATATCCCTGTTCTGCTTCTAATCAGGCTCCAAACCGCCATCAAAGGCAACCTGCACTATATCTTCCTGCCCTAATTAAATGCTTACCTGGAGGATGCCCACTCCTTACAGGCTATATAGTGCAAACATAATATTTAATCTCAGAATATCCTCTGTTTCCTGATCTCTCAACTTTAAAAACATCAACATGAATGTAAAAAGCATGAAATTTCAGACTGACATGACTCGGCAGAACATTGTACTTACTGGGCTTGATTTAGTGAGCAGGGCATGAACGCTTTGCAAAGTAAATGTTTACATGTAGTTTATAAGAAGTCATGTTCACTTTGAATGTATGATCATGGTCAACCAAGGAAAAAAAAACACATGATGCACAAGATGGGATGACTGAAAAGAACAAAGTTTCCTCTTATTTACTAAGCTAGGGAATCATTTACTTTGCCAAGTAAACATTAATTTTGCTAAATGAACAGCCTCTGCTCTTTTAGTATATTAATCCCATAGACATAAACAGAGTATGACTATTCCACATTCAATTCATTGTATTACTTGCAGAAATTTTTAAAAATTACAAATTTGATATTAACTAAACATATTTTTTTTTTTAGGCCAAACAATTTAGTCTATAAAACAAATGGCAAGTTATAATAAATCAAAAGGTGGATTTTCCCTCATATAAGTGAATCCTAGTATTTTTTGTGGGTTTTTTTTTAAAATAAAACACAACTTAACTTTTGGTAAAGTTGTCCTTTGGTCCTTTTTGCTGCAGAAGCCAAATTTTTATTCTTTGCACTCATTAATACATTAATTAAAATTAACACATTAAAATGTGCATTCTAGAACATTTCTACATGGCCTGCCACCTGAAAACAGACTCCCAGCCGCTATAGCAGACTTTTAACTAAACATTTTTTACCTTCCTGCAAGGAAATCACTAAGGTAAAAAATGTTTAGGCTTTGGGACCATTTTAACCTCCCTGGCACTATGATTATGTCAGGAAATTTGTACCAAAAGCGGTACCATTTTTTTGCATGGAAATTTGGTGTTATGTATTTTAGGCCTGCAATTCTTAGTAATTACTTACTTAATAAATACTCATAAAAAAATAATAATATAATAATAATAAATTTAATTCAATAATATAATCAAACCAAAAACACTGAAATTTTAAATATAGCTCCAAGTTCGCACATCACTGAGCAAAGTCGCAAAATCATTTTCAGTGTCTGATGACGAATTTCCCCCATGAATCATTATCACTTAATTCTGCAAGTAGTTCTGATTTACTATCGCTGTTCTCTAGCCGGTCTAAAACCGATTTTGACCTAAAGGGACGCTTTTTGGACGCCGTGGACTTTTCTAAGTTTCCAGGCAGAAAGAACAGTCAAAATGCAGGCAGGGCACAGGACAAAGCAGTAGGGACAAAATGTATGTGAAATGCTTTGATACAGGAATGTTTTGCTATGAAATAATCGTTTTTAAAAAAAATGTCATTTTTTTTAAATTTTCAAATTTGCTGCCGTCAAATTTGTTGACGTCACTGGGACCGGAAAACGGAAGCCAGATGCCGGCATCGGCTGGAGGAGATGGCAGGGGATGCTGCAGGGGACGCATCGCGGGAGCGAAGGACAAGGTAAGCGCTGTAGGGAATCCCTGTGCAACGCCGCATGGTAAGCCCAAGTGTAGCTTGGGGTTACCGCTTTTGGTACTGAAACTTTACCTCGAGCTACACTCGGGAATACTGCCAGGGAGGTTAAAGTGTTACTAAAGTCAAATTTTTACAAAATTAAAATAACAAACATGTTAAACTCACATGCTCTGTGCAGAAGTATTGCACAGAACAGCCTCAATCCTCTTCTCAGGTCCTACGCTGGTGATCTTTGTTCCTCCTCTTCTTAGTGTGTCCCCACAGCAAGCTGTTTGCTATGGAGGCACACAGTGCATGCTAGCTCCTGTGCCGTGTGTCTATGGAGCCGTGCTCCATAGGCACACAAATCGGGACTTAACCCCACCCCCACTTCCTCCTCACTGCTTTTGACTGCCAGTTGCCATTGGCTTCTGCTGCTGTTCCAGACCCTGTGTAAATAGGAAGAGAGGGGAGAAGAGATGCAGCCGTGCACAGCCCTGGATCTATTCTCCCCTCTCTTCCCCTTCACACAAGGTAGGGGGAAAACAGAGGAGTAGAAAACTTTTTTTTTACCATAATGCATTAGGATAAAAAACGTTTTTAGATTTAGTATCACTTTAAGGAAAAGTTGAGCTTATACTATGCTGTTCTCAAAGAAATGTAACAATTTGCAATGCATATGATGTTAAGCACATGAATCTAAAAGGTTGATAAAATATAAATAATATATACTAGAGACCCATATGTCACTATTATTTGTAGCCATCTGCTTATGTCTTTGATCTGAGCTATTTTAAAGCTATTAAAGTCAAACAGAAAAAGAAAACTAAAGCTCAAACAATAATTATGTGTGATTATTCTTATTCTAAGCAGCGGGCTGGAGGAAGGCGCATAGCACAGAAAATCGCAAAGCTTGAAAGTAATTCATATAATGAATACTACCATTACTTGTATTAACTACATACAGAAATTAAAATACAAAATGTTTCCCCTAAGTTGGCTTAGTTTGCCACTAGAGCATATAAAATGATGTGCGTGGCTATGCCCATTATCCTAAAATGAAAAAAAAAAAAGTCGGAGTATTAAGTCTTTTGGGGCTGAACTAGGCTTCCCGTGGGCTTCTGCACCTAAAATAATGTCTATGTTGTATAGAATCTGCAAATTAAGGGCATACCTGGAGCAGCAAGTGATATTTCAGGACCCTTTGCATAGGAACAACAAGAAGATCCCGCAGTGTGAATTTCCCGTTATTTGCTCTCTTCGAACATTCCTGTTTAGATGAAATATTATTATCATTAAATCGCTGCAGTCTCTGCTTTCAATGACACATTACAGAATTATTAAAAACCAGATGCAGGGTCCTGGAAATGTCATCTATAGTTAAGCAAAATAAGATTTTGTATGAAAACAAGTGCATCTGAAAATGTACATATAAATGCTTTCCTTTCACATTCATCACATCTGCAAGAATAATGGTGTGTGCTGTCATATCACTGCTCTGTAAGCTAGGTCATGCAATTGTGCAGATACATTGAACATAACGCTCTAGGCAAAGGGATGCAATAGCAATTAATGAAGAACAAGTCCTATTATATTAATTTGTATTATGAAACAATTATGGCATGTACTTGTGGCAAAATCTCTAATATAATCCTAAAAGAATATAATGTATATTTGCTTTCAAATAAGGAATCAGATTAATTTTTTTAATTTTGTTTTTAAAAATTCAATATGATTTGTGAAGAAGATACAGCTTGAAGTACTGAAAATCATTAATGAAGCAATAGTGACAGAACCTGTGCCATAAAATGGTCCCACAGTGAAGGACAGAGCTTCACAGAAGCACACTGTTGCTGTCTCTACAGCTGGTGGTGTGCTGCAGGGAAGATGGATGCTTGCCAGGGGATGGCTCTTCTATTAGCTGACACCACAGAGCACTACTTCTTCTACAAAGGCATCCATAAGGAGTTCACAGCAGGACAGAAGCTGGAGTTCTGTTAGCAACAGCTAAAAACCCTAAGGCAATGATTTTGGAATATAAAAATCTCAATATAAGCATGAATTAAACTCAGAACACTATTGATATTAATGCTGCCATGGCACTGATTTTAACTGGCAAAAAAACAAGATTGGTATGGATAATTAAACATCTGTAATGCACACCTAACAGGTTTCCAAACCACATCTGATCTGGCCATAATTTCCAGATAATGTATAATGATTTCTGTTATGTACAGAAGATAATATCTAAAGTAGAACTATGAGCAAAAAATCACATATATGATGCAGTCTCTTACTAGCATTAATACACAGTGGCTGTTTTTCCGAGTCTCCCTTGTATTATAAGTTTAATCACACAGCAGCACTGTCACTCTGTGGACAGGGTAGTCTTAGGTGGACATGTACAACCCCAAGTCCAATAAAGTTGGGCTGCTGAACAAAAACAGCATTCAACGATTTTTAAATCTCATAAACCCATATTTTATTCATGATAGAAAATAGAAAATGTGTAAACTGAGAAAATGTACCATTTTAAGAAAAGAATAAGGTAATTTGGACACTGATATTAGCAACATGTCTCAAAAACGGGACAGGGCAACAAAAAACTGGCAAAGTAAGTAGAACTAACAAGGAAGAGCTGGAAGAACATTTTGCAACTAATTAGGTTAATTAGAAACAGGTCAGTAACATGATTGGGTATAAAAAGAGCATTTTAGAGAATCAGAGGGATTGATTCACTACCGGTGAGAGCAAAATCTAGTGCAGCTGTGCATGGTAGCCTATCAGCTTCTAAATTCAGCTTGTTCAGTCAAGCTTTGACAATAAAACATGGAAGCTGATTGGTTTCTATGCAGAGCTGCACCAGATATTGCACTCTCCAGTTTTAATCAATCAACCACGCAATGTCTGGGCAGAAGTTCACCAATCTGCATCTGAAAACTGTCAATTTCAGAATAATGTTCCTCAATGTATAATTGCAAACACTTTAATATATCAACCTCTACAGTACATAATATCATAAGAAGATTCAGAGAATCTGGAGAAATCTCTGTGTGCAAGGGACAAGACCAAAGCGCAATACTGGATGCCTTTCTTTTGACCCTCAAACGGTACTGCATTAAAAACAGGCATAATTCTGTGTTGGCATCACTGCATGGGCTCAGGAAAGCTTCCAAAATTCACTCTCTGTGGACACAGCTCGCTGTGCAAACCAAACAAGCAAGGTAAAGATCTATTATAAAAAGAAGGAGCCATATCTGAACATTATCCAGAAACACTGTCATCTTCTCTAGGTTAAAGCTGAATTAAAATGGTCTGTTGCAAAGTGTAAACCTGTTCTGTGGTCAGAAGAATCTAAATTTGACATTCTTTATGGCAACCATGGGTGCTGCGTCTTCCAGTCTAAAGAGGAGAGGGACCTTCTGCCTTTTTATCAGCGCTCAGTTCCAAAGCCTGCATCTCTCATGGTATGGGGGTGCATTAGTGTGTATGGAATGGGCAGCTTGCATATCTGAAAAGGTACCATCAATGCTGAAAGATATTTCAGGTTTTAGAGCTGCATATGCTCCCATCCAGACAACATCTTTTTCAGGGAAGGCCTTACATATTTCAACAGGACAATGCTAAACCACATAATGCAACTATCACAACAACATGTCTTCATAGTAGAAGAGTCCAGATGCTTAACTGGCCTGCCTGCAGTCTAGGCCTTTCACTTTTGTTAACTATTACTCCACTGAAGTCACTTCCTTGATGCTTCACACTCTGCCACAGCTACTTAGCCCTGTATGGAAGACAGAAAGCTAAACTGTATTATCAAAGGATAGGTGTTCTGAGGTGTTCAGAGGCCATGTTATAGTGAGTATGGTGAGATTCAAGTACAGACCAGCCATGTAAGAATGACAGTCAACAAGGCTGATGCAGTAACAGGTATAACTTAAATAGGTGGCTACATACCTCCAGTTTTAATCTGACGTCTTCTCTGGTTTTACATATGTTATCCAGGATAGATATGGCTGACTCCACCTGACTACAGTACTCTCCATAAATAAGAAGTCTGAGATGGGGGGAAAAAAAGTTTGTTATGCAAGGTGCTTCTTAATGTTACATTTCTAGAAAACAAAGTCTGCTCATACACAGACAGATATTCCATGAATCATCATAAATTCATGATAAAAAATTAAAGACTTGCCCGAACTTGTAGTAATGATTGAACTATAACAATGCATTTTGGTTCACACCCAGGTAACAGTAGAGATTATCTGCAAAGTTATTGCAGGCAATCTGTAAAGTGGAATTCCAGACAAAACCTATCCACTCATAAAAATGCTCCCTCTTAACACCTTTTTTGACTAACCTGTGTAACAAAGATCTGTATACTCACCTATTATCAGGTCACTCTGGTCTGGTCACATGATTCATATCTCCTATATAAGCCAGTGCGGCTGAAGGAGAGAGGAGGGAGCACTGACATTGGGATGGGCCATTGGAGCCTATGGTTGACGTTACCACTCCCAGGCATTACCAGCCAATTTCTGGATGTTTTTCTCCTCTCCCATGAAGTCGGCCCTAGCTGACATAGGGAAGGTCACGTGACCGTACTGGACAGGCTTGAATAAAGGTAAGTACACAGATCTTTCTTACACAGGTTAGTCAGAATAGGTGTTAGGATGGGGGGGGGAGATTTTTAAGAGTCGTTCGGTTTTGCCCAAATTCTACGTTAACCATCCAGGACACCAATTCACTGATTAGACTTCTTATAAATATTATAGGCTTTTTATGGAATACTATATTGTCAGTGCGTTTAAGCCCATTTTAATTTTATCTGAACTGAAATTAATTTTACAGTATTTTGTTTTTTCTTTTTGTGATCTATAGAATAACTTCTATTTAGAAAAAAAAATACTGCACTTCCTAGTATAATAGTAGACAGCTTTTTTCTCCTTTTGGCCCCCACGACAAAACCTTAAGGCTTTGTTCACAACAATGCAGGTGTGATGGTGCGCACATATTTTATGCAATCTCCTGTGTTGCATTTAGAGCAGACCATTCAATCAATGGGCTGCACTACAAGCAAAAATCACACAAAAGAAGTGCATGACCCTTTCTTTTTTAAATTGCGCCGCACCAAAACACATGGTATAACATATGTTGAAGGCAAGATGCACTGGGTGCCATTAAGAATTCATGGCAATGTTGAGCACCTGCAAAACGGATGTGCGTTTTTGCGCACTGCGGGAATGCTTGCAATAGTGCACATATTCCCGCACAAATAATAAAACTAACTAATGGTCATTCCATAATGTTGCCCCCCTAAATCTACTGCATAGACACCATATTTTCGATAACTTGGACTTAGGGGTAACAAGCTTATAAATGGCATTTATCTGGCTACTACAAGAGGTTTTTATGCCATTATAACCGATTTCAGCACAAGCCTGCTCCAGACTGTAAAGAAATAAGAATCTTCTTTGGGTGGCTGGCCAGCGTGACACCTAGCTTGAATGTGGTGGGCTAGGGTGACTTTAGTGTGGAACCCCTGGGCCTCTCAGGGAGATCCATATATGGCAGTCCACTTGGGGTGTTGATGGATGATGACAAACTGTTTTTATTTGGATACAGTGAATCTTGGTATATTTGCATATGTCTTGGATGAATTCAATCTTACCATCCTCCTCTCTAATCTACCCCTGATGAAAGATATTTTTTCTGAAACGCGTCGAGTATCCCAATGAAGAAGCTTTGAGAAAGCGGATGTCCAACAACACCAAGTCCTTGCTCTCAAACACAGTATTCAGCCATGATGATTTGTTTTTATAAATTTCTTTTATGTACATGATTTTATTACACTGTAATAAAGTATTTTTGGATTTGATCTCAGCCATTATCGTAGTTGCTTTTAAAGTCCCAAGTTACTCTTGGGGGATTTCCGATTTCTCTACACTATCAGCATGTTGACAAAGATTTAATGACTTTTGTGAGTGGATTTTCAAGAATAAATGGTAAAATGCCAAGATACATAACCAAAGATTCATATTATACTTACAAGAGTTGATTTACTAAAAACAAATAGGCCATTGCAAGGGAATCTTCTCCAGAGCTTAGTAAATGCAGGGCAATTTCACTTTGGAAAGAATACTCAATCATGTGCAATAATAAAAAATAAAAATAAAAAAAAAACAGCATTGTTGCTTGCACAGGACTGGATGAAGTAAATTAACAGAGCTTCAATTCATTCATTAAGCTTTGGGGAAAAATTCCTTGCAAAGTGCAACTTCCCTTTCAAAATGAACAGTCTATTTGCCTTTAGTAAATCAATCCCACAAAACCTATGACCCAAGGTCACTGTGTTCAGAGAGACAAAAATAATGTCATTATAGTCAGTTAATGGGTCCATGCAGCATCTTAAAGTTGCCTAACTCATTTGCATTCATAATGTCCTGCAAGACTGACCACACAGTCTTTTATAGCTTCGTAAAGTTCATGATATTGAAAATGAGTCCAAACACCAAGGGCATTCAAGTAAGTGAAGTGATGAGACAGTTAGAAAGCAAAAAAGACATAAAAAGGAGATAGCAGCATCAGGGAGCAATATAGGCCCTTCAGACCTGTTGGTGGTGCATCTACTGTGACAGGGGCGGACTGACAACTCATGGTCCCTGGGCAATAGGGGATCATGGGGCCCCTGTGTCCTTGCCCAAAATCAAAAAAGCCTATGAAAAAGGTACCAGGGGCATCTCATGGGGCCCCCTACTGACCCCGGGCCCTCGGGCAGTGCCCAAGTTTCCAGATGGTCAGTCCACCCCTGTACTGTGACCCGTGTTGTTGCTGATGATGAAGATATTGCAGCTGATGAAATATTACCTCTCTTTATATGCCAGGAAGACCAAGTAGAGGTTTTGGCTATTTTTATGCGTAATCGAGTCACTGACTTCTAGCATGAGGCTTTTGTGCACTTTCACAAGTTCCTGTATGCCAAAAAGAAAAAGATGTGAGCACAAACAAACATTTTCAGAATATGAAAAACTTATCAAACTAGATAAAACAGCAAAAACAGCTCTGTGTAGGAAGAAAGTGTTTTATAAACCTCAGACATAAAATATGAACAATCCTCCATAGTGTGTACTCATCTCATTCCAGAGAGCTAGGTGTGATTTCTGTCTGCTGCCCTGTTCCTCTAAATGAGCCATTTATGACAAGTTTTCCTAACACCAAGAGAAAAAAGGTAACAGGGGATGGACCTCCAACACACAGCCTGTGTTTGACAGCCTCAGCTCTTTTCCTGTGAGCTGTGTGAAGGGGAGGGGTGGGGGGTCTCTTCCCTCCAATCAGCTCTTGGAGCTCTCCTCACTGAGCTCTGAAGTGTGTAAGTTCAGCTCTCCGCCCCTTGTTTTCTGGAAGCTCAGATAAGCTTTATAAACTCTGGACTTTGTATCAAGTGAGGCCAGTCACTTCACTTTGTATATGTAAGGGTTTACAACTACTTTAAGGGCTATATTTAAAAGGCTCAGTCCACTCAACACTAACATTTAAGTTATTTGTGAATTCTGGTGCACTGAATCACTGCTGATTTCTTATCTGAACTGGACTTAAGTAGTAAAACCACCTTTTCAGAGCTCACAACTCCAACCCTACAACTATGGAGTAGCTATGCCAGCACACTGAATGTGCATACACAACCCAATTGTATCTTTAGACTGGCGTTAAAGCTTTATGAATTGAGCCTTGTGTCTGTAAAGTTAGCTTTGGTCAGAACGCCAGGAAAACTGTGAATGACTCTATTACAATATATAAACTATAAAGTGACCAAATTAACATCCCAAAGGACTTGTAACTGTGTTCAGCCAATCTTGGGCTTTAGGTATATGTGAAATATATATATAGGTGCAGCGCTGAATTATAAAAACAACTAAAATAAAACATTAAAATCAAGCATAATATATGGTATGATACGTCATCCTTAGAATATACAAAGTACAATATATGATATCACCATACGGTGACCATAGTAAAATAAAATAAAATAAAAGCCCAATGAGCAAATGTGAACATGAGGATCCTGTGGGATCACAATTCTTGTGCGTGGATATTTGATATAGGAGGCGATGAATGATGTAACTCAATAAATAGAATGCATACAAGTAGCTACTTGTGTTATTCTGAAGGAAACAGCTACTCCTTCAGAATAAAACAAGAAAAAACACAAATTGGCTAGACATCTGGTTTGAGGTGCATTCTGATTGATCAGTGTAAGGCTCTCTTCGTGAGTGCCACCCTCCGCAGTGCCTGCCCTAAAGGTGACCTCAGATGGTGTTGAATACCAAGGAATCCTAATGTGGTTATGACCGGACGGTGATACGGAATGTGACCAGACCAGAATACGGAGTATCAAATAATATTACATATGCACTTCTGGTGAGTGCGCATTCTATTTATTGAGTTACATCATTCATCACCTCCTGGATCATATATCCACGCACAAGAATTGTGATCCCACAGGATCCTCATGTTCACATTTCCTCAGTGGACTTTTATTTTATTTTATTTTACTATGGTCACCGTATGGTGAAATCATATATTGTACTTTGTATGTTCTAAGGATGATGTATCATACCATATATATTATGCTTGATTTTAATGTTATATTTTAGTTGTTTTTATAATGCAGCACTGCACCTATATATATATTTCACATTGATCTTTGGAAGGTTCTTTTGGTTACCTTTTTTGGTGTTCTAGCAGTTTCATATTTTTCTATGTTTCTTTCTTTTTTTGGAAGCGCTCGCTAGACATTTCTTTTCTTGGGCTTTAGGTATGCCCACTAGACAGAATAGTCAGGTCAGTGGCCTCACGTTTACTTACTGCAATTAGGCTGCTTTCACACTGATCAGTTTTTGTTCAGTTAAAAAAAGTAGAAGAAAAATGCATGAAAAATATATCCGTTTAAATCCTATGAAACTCTTCACACTGGTCAGTAGCATTTTTTAAAGGTCCTGCTTGGTGTATTTTTGGTGCTTGTTTTTTCAGTTAAAATAAAACACACCAAAGATGTACCAAAATGAATGGAAACCATATCAAATACCTGGCAAAAACACATCAAAAACGCATCTGTGGGAGGTGCTTTGTCCAGTTGCATGTACAGGGGGAAAACGCAACAAAATGCATCAAAAATACAACACACCACAACAAAAATGCGGCAAAAACACAGCACTGTGAAAGCAGCCTTAAGCAGTACAGTTTATTCAAAACAACCCAAGCCTGCCCTTCCTGGAAGCATGCATACTGTTGTATGGCATCATTGTGCAAAGCAGTACTGACTGGCTAGCTATCTATCATCCAGGCTCAATACTGCTGTGGGGCATACAGGAGGCAAATATAAACACAGTGTCAGAGAATTGTACAAGTTCTTAATAAAAATACAATAAATGATGTTTCAATGGATATGTAACTGAATTAAATGGTATTTTATATTAGACAGAAGCAGCTTTCAATTTTGTAATCGTTACTTATTCTTTCACATTGCCACAATACTGGAGCACTTTGCTATATTTCTACTGCTTCTCATCTAGGCCACTTACAGGGATATTAATAAATATTTGTTGCAGGTCTGTTGTAGGCAAGAATTTTTTCAATGGCTCCATGAAGAACTGCAAAAGGAAAGACAGATAATGAATGCAAAAAAAGCGACGTGTAAAAATTAATTCATTGTGATGAACACCAATGATTAATTATATAGAAGGTGAGAGGTTATTTTTGGTATCAAACATTTTACTGTTATCACACCACTAATTTTTCTGGCATTCTACATACAGGGGTGTTTCTATCAGTGTGTTAACAGTATTTACACATTTAGAATTTGTAGTCAAAGAGCTTAGACCAGTAGGATTAACTGGAAAAGAAATGTCTATTTTTACCAGACATTTGCACTAATAAAATCTTTTATAACATAATTTCTTAGCCCAAAGAAAGTTGTAAGTGTACACGGTAATGGGGGGTAAGAAAAACCTAACTTAGAATACCTTTGATCCACTCTGCGTAAGGATAAAGCTGACCATTGAATGCTCACAGTGCTTGGATTTACTAAGTAAAGGTTCTGATATTCTCTACAAAGATATTAATTGTCCACTGTTAAGTCATTAGACCAGAAAAGTAGTAGACTCAGTACCGGGACAAGGTCATCCAGTGCCCAGGATGAACATGGCAAACTGCACCCCTCCCTCCTTTCAGGATAGGGCTAGTAATGGTGTAAGGTTTTACCCCCCTTCCTGAGTGGGCCATTTTTTTGCGATACGGCACCGCGTTATTTTAACTGACAATTGAGCAGTCATGTAATGCTGCACCCAAATTCAATTTACATCCTTTTTTTCCACAAATAGAGCTTTCTTTCATTGGTATTTGATCACCTGTGAGTTTTTTGGTTTTTGCGCTATAAACAAAAAAAACCCGACAATTTTTAGAAAAAAAACAATATTTTTTACATTTGATATAAAACATGTCAAGTAAAAAAATTTTTTAAATGAAATTTCTTCATAAATTCAGGGCCAAAATGCTTTCTGCTACATGTCTTTGCAAAAAAAAATCCCAATACGTGTAAATTAATTTGTTTGCGTGAAAGTTATAGCATTTACAAATGGGGGTATATATACTGGGATTTTTTTTTTAAATTTTCTTTCTTACTAGTAATGGCCGCGATCAGCGACTTTTAGCGGGACTGCGGCGGCGGGCATTCTGATGCTGGGGGGAACTGACTTGGTGTCACTGACATCCCCTGTGACACCAATACAGTGATCAGTGCTAATAAAAAGCGCTGTCACTGTACTAATGACACTGGGCAGGAAGGGGTTAACATGTGTGGCGATCAAAGATTTAACTGTGTGCTGTTTCACTGCTTGGGCTGTATGTGTGCTTCACTGTAAGCACACTGCTTTGTATGGTTCTGCTATACAGAGCCATACAAAGCAGTGTGCAGGAGCTGAAAGGAGAGAGATCTGTGTTGTTTATATAAAGGTCTCTACCCCGTCGAAGATACTCAGTGATCACCAGGTGCCGGTGAATAATCACCAGGCAGGATCCGGTTATTGACAGCCAAGGCCGCGAATAGGCAAGGCGTGGGTAGGGCCCCCCCCCTACCCGGATTCAGGAGAATCAGTGCTGAACTGGGATTGTGCAGGGAAGATAAAGAGACACGTGGCTAGAAGTGAGATAAGCTGGACAAAGAGTAGGTGACCATCGAAGCAGACTGTGAAGTGACCCAGGAAGGAGAACAAACTGGGGCAGAAGCGCAGCTCTGCAGGAGAGATAAGGCATTGTTAAAGTGGCCAGAATGGAGGAATAGGGGAAGTGATACTTTGTGCAGTAATATGAGGGAGAATGAAAGTTCCTCCTGTCAGGCAAGAGCAGCGGCAGAATCTCCAAGTGTGCCCTACCCTTCCCTTCAAATTTAGACAGCGCCCAAGGCAGGTGCTCCTTCCACCCCTCCCTTACCCCTCCCCTGAGTAGACTCTGTATTTTTTCTTCTCATAGTGTGGATTTGATAGCAACTGCAGTTTTTTTTTATTTTATCTTAATTAGCCAGGATATATTGGCTAACTTTCAGCACTTTATACCCACCTTTTCTATCGACTCCAGAGTCTCTGAATATTTCTCTTCTGTTTGCTTAATTTCTAAAAGGCAGCAGCTCCGGATGTCACTCTCTGCAGTCCTCTGCAATCATTCAAAATTAATGTCATTCAAAAACTCTAGAAAAAAAACGACTTTGTATATTAATATCTATCAACACAGTATATTGGGGTTGGGTTAGGTAAGGGTTTCTCAGCCAGGGTTTCATGGAACCCTAGGGTACCTCTAAGAGTTGCTAGGGGTTCTTTGAGAGATTTTTACTTCTCAGATAAGTTCCCGCTGACACCATACATCATTTTAGCTATCTGTAAGGGGGGGAATTCTTCCCAATGACTACAAGTGTAAGGAGCATTCTGCCCACTAACCATCACACCCATGTATCATGACTTTTAGATATAGTAAATCTTAGCAGGGGTTCCCTGAGATTGGAAAGTTATTTCAAGGGTTCCTCTGTGTTGAAAAGGTTGAGAAAGTCTGGCTTAGGTGGACGGGCCTAGACCAGTATGTTCAAAGGTTTTAGTTTTCAGTTTTCAACAGTACAAACAGCAGCATTGATATATTTGAATATAATTATTCCATACTATTTTATATTATATATAAGACACATGCATCTCTATTTACACAACAGTAAAAGTTTCCTTACATTGGGCATTGCAACTTCAACCTTCATGAGATCTTCATACACTTCATCTCCTTCATCCTCTCTGTATACACAGTCATAATACAATTCATCATCTTCCTCCATCCCTGATTCACTGTAAGAGGAGGAAATAAAAAATCTCATTAACTCACATTCATTGTATGACAACTGTTAAGGTCTAAATATGATGCTCTTTCAAAGGAGCATGGTTTGGTCTCCTACCCCCCACAAGTTTTCTCCTCTGTAAGAATGTACACTGTTGTATAACAGCACAGTTCAAAGCAGTAAAGCTTGACTGACTATGAAAACAATTTTTCTTCCAGGCTTAGTACTGCAATCTGGCCAAACAGTGAACAAATGGCCATAAACATGGTAACTATTTCCGCCATAAAACGTCTTTTGAATACATACTGCCCTAACAAATTTAATGTTATAGAATCTCATTGGCAACTTCTGCTTAACATCTGCTACTTGAGAGTTTACAATATCTCACTACTTTTATATTATTATGTTTAGGGAGCCCTATATTTGTGATCTCTTTTAGAAATATATTTGTCAGAACACAAATGCTAAACACAACTTATCAAGCCTTTTAGCAAAGGCTCCAGTCCTATATTGTACCCAGGTTTACTAGTACTTGGATGTCACAAGAAGGGTTGCTGCTTTGAGAAGGAGCAGAAGGAACCAGTGAAATAGAAGAAATAAGATGTGGAATGGAACAATGGAAAATACATTTTTTCTGTGTGCAAAATGTTCAATATGTGTCCATATGTGTATCTGCAAATTGAGACTTTGGACAGGTGGCACCATTGCAAATTAAACAGATACAATCATGCAACAACAATGGTAGATGTCAAAAGGGGCCCAAATGTTCATTTCATAGATGCCTATTGCAAACATCTGCAACTAGCTAAGATTCTAGAAATATAGTGAATGCTACTGTATCCACTACAAACAGCATTGTTGGGTAATGAGACAAGTTAGATATTAGCTGTATTCTTCATATGGCCATGTCTTTTATGTCTAACGATTATATTTTAAATGCAATTACATAATGAACATGTAATAATGAAAGATATGTTTGAATGGGTAAAGAGGTTACTTAAAGACCCTGAGTTTATTTTTATGACTTGAAAAAAATAGCATACTGTATATACATGCCTAACTGAATCGATTTCTGTATTTCCTTTTACTCATTCACTTGTTTGGCTTCTCTTTACAAACGATATAAACTTTTTTTGCTACAGCTTCCTATACGCTCTACTGCACACTGAGAGTAAAAAACTCCACTTTTAAGGGTGTCTGACTTTTCTTTGCAGTCTCTAAACACCCCTCTATGTTAGCCTTTGTGACCATGCACACATAGGTGTTTATAGGCATAATAGAAGAGAAGCGTTTAAAGGCTGAAAAAAGAAAACAAAATAATGTGCACATTTAGGAGAGGGGCGTTTAAGCAGGAAAAACATTTTGTGCACCTAAATGTCTGTAAACGAGCCTAAATGCAAGCTGTGTTTAGCCCTTGAGCATTCATTCATTTCAATAGCCAGAATAAATTAATATTCTGGTTAATAGAATGAATGAACACCCCAACATTTGACGCATTTAAACACATCTAAACACAAGTGCAAAACGTGGCTTTAGGAGCATTTTTAAGCTTCTTTTCTCCTGCCAGAAGAAAAGGCATTCAGTGATTGCCTAAAAAAAAAAAAAAAAAAAAAAAAAAAAAAAGGTTGAAAAAAGTATATATATGTGCAATTACAGAAGTATTATACTGTATGTGTTGTCATCAAACAGTTATAATAAACGTGAAAGCTATACAGATCTAAGGGTGCAATACATGGATACTGTTAAGTAAGCATGTAATGGTAGGTAACCAATCTACTGCTAAAATGGAAATCTTTCCCATCACTACACCAGTAATAAAGAAAAAAATAAATTTGTAAGTCTACATATTGAGCATTTAATTCTATAGCTGCTCCCAGTATACCTCCCAGTATAGCCAATGTAATCTGTAATGCAAATGAAATGTAGCATTACCATAACTCACTGACACCAACAAAAAGAGATAGTTGACCTTTACTTCGAATACAAGGTACTCTAAAATGATGCCATCCCAAATTACATTTTCTATGGAATGAGTCACCTCTACGCCGATGACACGCAAATCTACCTCTCTATCCCTCGCCTCACCCCTTCAGTCTCCGCCCTTATCACCTGCCTACTGAACGACATATCAGACTGGATGTCACTCCACTTCCTCAAATTAAACGTTTCTAAAAACCGAACTCCTAGTTTTCCCCCCAGCCCGCGCTCCCCCCCTAACCTCTCCATCACGCCCAATAACGCCACCATCAGTCCCACCCCGCAAGCCAAAGTTCTAGGTGTCACTCTAGACTCCAATCTATCCTTCCAGCCCCATGTCCAATCGCTGGCAAATTCATGCAAGCTCCACCTCCTCAACATCTCCAAAATAAGTTCGTTCGTAACCCCAGACACTACTAAACAACTCATTCACTTCCTTATTATCTCGCGATTCAGCTACTGCAACTCCCTCCTCACTGGCTTACCTCACCACAGACTATCCCCGCTTCAGTCTATCCTGAACTTAGCAGCCAGACTCATCCACCTTACCACCCGCTCCGTATCTGCCACCCCCCTCTGTCATTCCCTCCACTGGCTTCCGATTGCCCATTGCATAAAATTCAAACTACTAACATTGACGTACAAAGCTATTCATACTGCCAAACTACCTCACCGGCCTGATATCCAAATACCACCCAACATGTACTCTTCGCTCCTCACAAGACCTCCTACTCTCCAGTTCCCTGGTCTCCTCCTCCCATGCCCGACTCCAGGACTTCTCCAGGTCTTCCCCCATCGCTGGAACTCACTACCCCAATCCATCTGACTGTCACCTACCCTCCTCACCTTTAGGCGCACCCTGAAAACCCATCTCTTCAGGGAAGCCTACCCCGCCCTCACCTAACAGCCAATCTCCTCCACTCCTCCTACCACTCCATCCCCCACAGCCATTTCCTCCTGTACCACTATCCCCTCCCTCCTAGATTGTAAGCTCCAAGGAGCAGGGCCCTTGAACCCCTCATGTATTGTATTGTTACTGTTTTGTCTCATGTACTGTCTCCCTACTATAATGTACAGCGCTGAGCAAACTTTTCGGCGCTATATAAATACTGTATAATATAATATGTCAGCCTACAAGTATTTCCTTTATTGTTCCAACTGAGGTTAAACTCCAAATCCTTCTCCATGTAGATTTTAAATAAAGTTGAGAAATAATTTCTTAAAAGCATTTCCCAAATTCATGTGCCCCATCAAAAATGTTTTAAAAGAATTGTATAAAGACAAAAATACATAAGCATTTCAATAAAACAAACTAAATTGGCACAGTCCAATTACACTGAAGCAAATCCAATTGTGACTATAAGTATGAGATTTGTTTTCCCTATATTTACAACCCAGTAAATACAGCAATATAAAAAGTGTCTTCAAAAATTTCACTTTATTTGACACATATATAAAACGTATTACAATTACATACTCAAGTAAATCAGGCAGAGCTTTGTAAATGTCTTCATCTTGCACACTTTCCTCAGTGGGAAACGGCCTGCACAAAAAAGCATATATAAGATATTTGATAAGTTGGTTAGAGTTATACAGAAGATTTAAAACCATGTCTTCTTTTTGGGTTTGGAAGTTTGAAACTATAATGTGATGGCTACTTAAACATTACCAGTAGACACAAGATGAGCATTTCCACGCCAAAAGTTTAGGGTAAATAAAAAATGTTTATGACATCATCAGAAAGCTCCAGCAAACTGCTTTTCAGAAAACCCAAACAATGAAATAGGTTAAAAAACATTTTCGATTACTTTTGTCCTTACCCTCCTCTATGTCTGGGCCAACACTCATCTTATTCTGTATATTAGATAGTTGTAATAATTCTATGCAATTATATACCAGAGTTAATTTCATCAGCTAAAATTTTTTCATCAATGAAATTAACACTATTATAGTTGACTAAAATACAACTGAAACTACAATTCAGATGACTAAAATATGACTAAAACTAAAATGGCATTTTAGTCAAAAGACTATAATTAAAACTATATTGAGATTTGATGTTAAAATTAATACTGGTAACATATCACAACAGCTAAATCTGTGTCTGTAGTTCATGTTCAAACCTCAATACCATAAATAATAACTTGATAATAGATTTTTACACCAGGAGTATATAATGATTTTAGAAATTCTAGAGAAATGCTTAAATAATACATTACAATTTAATGAAACCCATTAGATTTCAGTCGACTAAAATGAATTTAGTCAACTAAAGTGTACTAGAGATTTTAGTCGACATAACAATTCAGATTACTAAAATACGACTAAAACTAAAATAGCATTTTAGTCTAAAGACTGACTAAAACTAAATTAAAATTTGACAACAAAATTAACACTGGTATATATTGATGACAGGCCTCTCAGCCCAGAACTGTAATTACTGCTCACACCCCTTCTTAGAATATCTACAACATTGTGCTGAGAGATCATCAATAGTTTTTTTCCCTAATTTGTGAATTGTTGAAGGTAAGAAGTGAAAAGAACAGATCTACTACAAAATCATCTGAGATAAAATGTGACCCAAAGTTTTTCTTCTGTATGAAGCAGACTCATAAATAATACATTACATTTTTAAAACAATTTAAAAAAGGTGTATTTGTTGTATTTTTTAAATATTAATTGACCATAATAACACCTCTGTACAATTGTTCAAGTAAGAAAGCTGCATTACAATACAACTGGTCAATTTTGCAAATCTACCCAGAAGAATACAAGAAATAGCATAAAATAACAGATGTCAACTCCCATTGGTTAAAGTATTGTATGTCTAAAGAGAAACATTTTTCATTTTGGAGAGAGCAGGGAATGATTTAAGCACCAGACCTTTTTTGCTGTCTGTGCCCCAGTGGGGAGAAAAACGGCCTGTGTCAGGCTTTGATGGGCAGTCACAGCATGCTTTTGCCATCAGTTCAAGATACAACTGAGACAATTCAAAATGCACCACAAATACAGCTGACTTGCTGAACTGCAGTTGACCTGTACTTGGCCTGCATTCCTATAGAGTTGTATGGTGAGAAAAGCATTTCAGCTGTACACAAAAGCCCACCAACACTGGCCATTAACCTCCAGTCTCGAAGAAACAGAAAATTAGAGAACACCTCCTTATTAGGAGATTTTCCCTATTCCTGTTCTAGTGATATTGGTAAAATGTGGATTTGCCATCATTTTTTGTCTTGATGGCAATAAACAGGATGAACCTAATGGGTAAACAGACAACAAAACAAACCTGACAGGGGTTTTCACCCTTTTAAACTTAAACCAAAACTAAAAAGAAATGCAAAGGTAGAAATGAACTAAGAAATAGACAGCTAGCTAATAGATAGCTAGCAGTAGACATGTGAGAACTGTAGAAACATTTATGATCCATTATGTTCTTTTTTGATTGTAATATGACTGGAGAGCGGTGTTGCCTTGAAGTACTAGATTCCTGTGTTTAATTCCCAGGAGAAGGCATCATCTGCATGGAGTATGTATGAATTTGGTAGGGAAGTTAGTGTATAAGCGCCACAAGAGCACAGCCTGATGTGAATGTCTTTGTGTACTCAGTAGAGCATTGTAAAACACGTTGAGACTATACAGGTAAACAGAAGGATTATATTTTAGTTCATGTGTAATGTATTATAAAGTTTATTTCTGCCTTTATGCCTTTCATCATTTACTCTAAAGCTGGCCAAAGATTACTCTTTTTTTCAATCAGACAGTTGGCTGGATGAAAAATAAAAACAGATTCCTCCATCCACACAAGGGAAATGGATACATAAATCCGACTCAGAGCGACAATGTATTTTGACAGCAGGACTCTTGGGACTCTCAGCCAATTAGATGCAGCCATCTGATCAAGAAAAATGTTTCAACACGTCCCTTTGACAAAACAGTCAACTTCTGTCAAACAGGCATGGACAAACATGGATTGAAATTCGGCTGGACTCTACTGAACCAGCCTAATTTTAATCCATCTTCAGCCAGCTTAAGTTTAAATTGAAAGTAATTGTAAAGGGTTTTTTTTAAATAGCAAACATCTCTATACTTGCCTGCTCTGTACATTGGAGTTGCACAGAGCAGCCCCGAACCTCCTCTTGTTGGGTCCCCTACTGCGCTCCTGGCTCCTCCTCTCTGTCCAGTGCCCCCATGGAAAGCGGCTTGTGCATGCTCGCTCCCAAGCCCAAGCAGCTGCATCCATAGACACAGACAGCAGGACCTGCCCCCCACTCCCTAGTCACTGGCTTGGATTGACAGCAGGGAGAGCCTATGGCTCCCGGTACCCCAGCAAAGCCAGTGAGACCCAGAAGGGAGAGGAAAGAAGAGCTGCAGACGGGCACATTGTTGGATTAAATGAGGGCTCAGGTAAGTAAAAGGGGAGGTGAGGGGCCAAAAACTTTGCCAAAACATTTTTTACCTTAATGCAAGGAATGCATTGGGGTAAAAAATGTTTAGGCTTTACAACCACTTTACGGTGATGGCTAACTAAATACATTGTAGTCCAAGCTTTTAAGGCATGCTAGCCTATTATGAAGGAGGAGAGGCCACAGTACCTCAAAAACTTGCACTACAATCTATTTTGTTAGCCAATAAACAGTATCACCCTAAATCCAAACTACGACTTTTGTTGATGGCCAACACGGGTATACAGCTCTGCTATTATATTGGCTAGACAGAGAAGATAATCAAGATTGAAGCAAGGATGCATAAAGTTGCTTCCAAAATCTTTGCTACCGCTGGAAAGGTGATTTTCTCACTTGTGAGGCTGGAATTTTGGGAACTGCCACTGTTAGCTTTGTTTTTAAAGGTGTAGACTCCAAAAGGTTCCTGGTTTTTCAAGGTGCGGACTCCACTTCTTATTCAGCTGTTGTCTTGTTTATGGCTTTATGATCCAAGGAGTCCTTTACTCAGAACAAACATGCAGGTGAAGAGTTATGAACTTTCAGAATGGCTGAATGCTAGTTTTAAGACAGTGATTCAAGACATCATTTTAGCTGTGTCATGATACTCACTGAGGGTTTCACCTTTAAAAAGAAAAAAGCAAGGATGCTTCTATTTCTATTTTCACAGGTTAATTTACATTTGCTGTATACCTCAGACATGAAATATGAACAAAGTATATACCTTTATATTGTGTGCTTGTCTCAATTAAGATCACAAGTGCCATTTCTACCTGCTGCTTCATTCCTCTGCTATCAGCATGAATCAGTTTTGACAAGTTTTCCTGACACCAAGAGAAACATGGTGACAGGGGAGGACCTCCAGCAGATTGATAACCTCAGCTCTGTCCCTGTGAGTTGTGTGGAGGGAGGTGTGTGTCTCTTTCCTCCAATCAGCTCTCAGACCTCTCTTTACTGATCCCTGCAGAGTGTAACTTTAGCTCTCTGCGCCCTTTTTTTTCTTTCGCAGACAAGCTGCATAATATTCAGCACTTTGACTGACTGTAGAGAAGAGAAGACTGCAGATAAACAGGTACAATTTATGTAGAAGGATTTGTTTCATTTCTGTATAGCATTACATGAGGCCAATCACTTGACTCTTTAATGCAAAATTGCAAGCTTACTAACATTATTATTACACAGACTTGCTGAGTTCAGAAAGTGCACTACATTCACAAATAAGACTAACCGTTATCAGACCTACTATTATGGTGCAAAACTATGCCGCACAAGCAGGTCAATGTAATAACATTTTTTGATGTAGTGAGTATTTTTCCAACGATAAAGAACAGCTATGAGTTGTAAATGGCCATAATCCATTAAAATGAATCAGAATTTATTATTTCTTGTTCTTGCTATAGTAAACGGTAATTTAACCGCTACTGCAATCTGTGCGACATCATACTGAATATACCCGCATTACATTCTGGCTTTCTTATGGTTTATGCAGTGTTTGTCCTGAAGCATAGTTTGAAGGACATTCTTCATCTATTGATATATTTTGTACAGTACTGTTATGGAGACCACAAGAGTACACCATTTGTAGCTACAGAGACACTGTCTTCTGATGAGAAGAGAGGAAAGTTGAATAATTAATTACCACAATTATTATATAAATAAACATTGACATTAGCTTCAAATATGTTTTTCTGGTTGCAGTATCCTTTTTGTGTCCTACCTAGACAAAGAACAAGGGGTTTCATGTAGAATTAATATTCAAGGACTTTCTTGTAGTTGAGCATAACAAACATTAAACTTGCATAAAAGATCCATCAATTTTTCAAGTCATCATACTGATACATGGTCAACATTTATAATTTATAATTGGTGTTCCTGTAACTACATTTATTACAAATGTCTCCTCAAAGTGCAAAAAATGTTAAAGTCTTAAAAAAGTATTATAGTTCTTTTTTATTAATATTACCATTCATAATAATTAAAATGATTGTGATCACTGCACAAGTGCCTCAGTTTTTTGCCAACTCATTAGGTATTTCAGATAACATTTTTCACAATAAAATGCTTTTGAATTGCGAAATAAATATCTACTCTGACACTCTATTCCATCAAACTGATCAATATAAAAAAAAAAATAATGATATATATATATATATATATATATATATATATATATATTTATATAATTACCGTGCATGCAGACAATGTGAATTCCAAAAGCTTGTTAAAATGAGGGTCTTTGTGCCTTTAAGCATACCTATTTAAATAGCAATGAATAATAACTGACCTGATTCCACATGACAGGGCATTTGGAGAATGGGAGAGCTTGGACAAAGTCTCTATAACCTGAAAATAGAAACATTACATTTGTGCTATTTCCATAAGATGCATGTAATAACAGTAAGTATGTGTCTGTACATATTGAGTCACACTGTCATCAATAAAGGCTGTATATTCCAACACTCACACATATTCCAACACCCCAGTTATACTGAAGGTATTTTAACAATTCTTTAACACTCTCTATTCATCCCATACAAATTACAGGGAACAGGATCTTTATGAGTTCTTGGCTCATATCACACTCCCCTACCTGTCAACACAGGAACACAGCCTGTGTGGTGCACCTATTACTCTCGAGGAATTAGAACTTGCTCTTGGACCCATGCCTAACATTGAAGGTCATGGGAGTAAAAGACTCAGTTGAAACCTATAAAAAAATACTAACCCATCTTTTTCTGCTTTTTGTATACAATCTACCATTGGACATAGACACTGTTGCCTCTTCTATGCAGGAAAAATATAATTAGAGTAAATCCTAACCAGACAAAAAACCCAGGCCACCCAATATCTCTCCTTGCCACAGATACAAAATTAGTTGCCATGGTTTTGGCTACCTACCTTGCCAATGTTACTGTATATCTCAACTGGTACACCATGATAAATTAGGATTTATTCCTGGATGGCAACAGCCACTAACTTTGACAGGCTCTTCTTATACCAACAAATACCTACAATTATGCAGACAATAGAGGCATACTATCCTCAGAAGCTGCAAACACAATGAAATTACCTGTGGAGGTGACTGGGAATGCATGGCCTGGGTAATACATTATCTAACTATAATTTGGCTACTTTATTCCTTGACCTCAGCACAACTAAGTGTTAGTTGCTCCTTATCTGCCCCCTTTTGTTGTCCTGGGGTACAAGACAGTGCTGCCCTCTATCCCCCTTATCATTTACCTTAGTCATTAAATCTCTTTCTGCCAGACTGAAACATACCCCACACTATTGTGGAATTTAGGTGAGGAGGAGCTTTAAATTGATGATGTATTGATATTTCTACAGGATAGCCAGTTTTCCCTTGAAACTCTTATTACCATCATACAGGACTCCTATTCAGGGTTCAGAATAAACTAAAACACTGGACCTGATTTTATTGTTCTTGGCCCCTTCAGACTCCTAATCAAAAATTGTGGATACCTTTACATACATAGACTTGATACCTTGATACATGCTTAACAATGACCTGAAGCAAATTAACAGAATCCATAGTAGAAAGAATGAACATGGTAAAAATGATCTGGCAACCCCACTTACTGTACATTTTACATGATCTGTCTGGATAGCTATTAGCAGATTCAAGCAAAGAAACTAAATTTTTACGGGATTCTGGGCAGCATAGTGGCTAGGTGGTTAGCAGTTCCACCTGGCAGTACTAGGGTTGTTGGTTTGAATCCCAACCATGGTAATACCTGCTGTGGAGTTTGCATATTTTCTCTGTGCCTTCTTGGGTTTTCTCTGGGTACTCCTGTTTCCTACCACATTCCAAAGACATGCTGCTTGGTAAATTGGCCCTTGTATGTGTATGTATGAATGCGATTTAGGGACCTTAGATTGTAAGCTCCTTGAGGGCAGGGACTGATGTGAATGTTCAATACATGTAAAGCACCATATTAATTGATGGCGCTATATAAGTACTGTAAATAAATTATATCTAGAAAGATGGACCAGCATGCACTAAACTTCAAACTGTATATCGTTCAACAGCCCCTAATCCATATTTACACTCACAAGCCACTTTATTAGATACACTTGTTCAATTGCTTGGTAACACAAATTGCTAATCAGCCAATCACATGGCAGCAACTCAAAGCATTTAGGCATCTAGATGTGGTGAAGACAACTTGCTGAAGTTAAAACTGAGCATCAGAAGGGGGAAGAAAGGGGATTTAAGTGCATTTGAACATGGCATGGTTGCTGGTGCCAGATGGACTAGTCTGCATATTTCAAAAACTGCTGATCTACTGGGATTTTCACACACAATCATATCTAGAGTTTACAGAGAATGGTCCGAAAAAAAGAGAAAATATCCAGAGAGGGGTAGTTGTGTGTACGAAAACACCTTGTTGATGTCAGAAGTCAGAGGAGAATGGGCAGTCTGATTCAATAGATAGAACCAAGGTGTAAGGAAGATACTTGCCATAGTGCGGCTGAAGCTTCTGGACTTACATGATGGCGCAGGCGCAGATGTGCTAGGGCCCGTTCTGCTGTGCATATTCGTGCACATTTGTGTTCGTGGATTCGCACACCCGCGACTGCCTTTTGCTAATGTTGGCGCCAATGAAACTATTGAAACCCAGCAGCACTATTAGCCTGTGCTGTCTGATCTGCAGCTTCCCCTCCTGTATTCCTGTGCCTGTTTCTGTGAGTGATACCTGTGCTTGACCACACCTTGCTTCTTGGAATCCGCCTCTGCCTTCTGTCTGTGCTTGATCTGCTCCCACCATTACTGACCTTGACCTGTGACCCGACTACTCTTTTGCCTGCTGTTTATGACTGATCAGCTTATCTGTTACCAGCCCAGCCTGTCTGACCCTGGATACAGTGTGCTAGCCTGCTCTGCAACCAACCTGTCCAGCTGTAACATCTGCCCACTACCAGTCTGCTCTGTCACCAGCCTGTCCAGCCATGACGCCCCCGCTTGCTACCAGCCTGCTCTGCAACCAACCTGTCCTGCTGTGACATGTGCCCGATACCAGCCTGCTCTGCTACCAGCCTGTACAGTCATGATGTCTGTCTGCTACAAGCCTGCTCCGCTGCCAGCCTGTCCAGCCGTGACATCTGTCTGCTACCAGCCTGCTCTGTCACCAGCCTGTCCAGCCGTGACATCTGTCTGCTACCTGCCTGCTCTGTCACCAGCCTGTCCAGCCGTGACATGTGCCCGCTACCAGCCTGCTCTGTCACCAGCCTGTCCAGCCGTGACATCTGTCTGCTACATGCCTGCTCTGTCACCAGCCTGTCCAGCCGTGACATCTGTCTGCTACATGCCTGCTCTGTCACCAGCCTGTCCAGCCGTGACATCTGTCTGCTACCTGCCTGCTCTGTCACCAGCCTGTCCAGCCGTGACATCTGTCTGCTACCTGCCTGCTCTGTCACCAGCCTGTCCAGCCGTGACATCTGTCTGCTACCTGCCTGCTCTGACACCAGCCTGTCCAGCCGTGACATCGGTCTGCTACCTGCCTGCTCTGTCACCAGCCTGTCCAGCCGTGACATCTGTCTGCTACCAGCCTGCTCTGTCACCAGCCTGTCCAGCCGTGACATCTGTCTGCTACCTGCCTGCTCTGTCACCAGCCTGTCCAGCCGTGACATCTGTCTGCTACCTGCCTGCTCTGACACCAGCCTGTCCAGCCGTGACATCGGTCTGCTACCTGCCTGCTCTGTCACCAGCCTGTCCAGCCGTGACATCTGTCTGCTACCAGCCTGCTCTGTCACCAGCCTGTCCAGCTGTAACATCTGCCCGCTACCAGCCTACTCTCTGTCACCAGCCTGTCCAGCCATGACATCCGTCTGCTGCCAGCCTGCTCTGTCATCAGCCTGTCCGGCCATGACATCTGTCTGCTACCAGCCTGCTCCGCTGTCAGCCTGCCCAGCTGTGACATCTGTCTGCTGCCAGCCTGCCCAGCCATGACGTCTGCCTGCTACCAGTCTGCTCTGCTGCCAACCTGTCCAGCTGTCCAATCTGCCAGCAAAGTGCCAGCGATTCCTGCACAGACTACAGGACTGACCAGGCACTCATACCCCACCATGCTTTTGTGGTTGCTGTTTCACCTTCAGTGGCCCTCAAGCTGGAGCTGTACAAGAAGCCTTCCTCTGCCGTCAGGCTCACAGCAAAGTACATGACACAAGGAATGCAGAATACCATCTCTGAACCTACAACATGTCGAACCTTGAAGCAGATGAGCTACAGCAGCAGAAGACCACATTGGGGGCTACTCCTGTCAGCTAAGAATAGAAAACAAAGGCTACATTTCGTAAAGGTTCACCAAAATTGTACAATAGAACATTGGAAAAACATTGCCTGGTCTGCTAAGTCTTGATTTCATTAGAGATGGTTGTGTGTGGAAATCCCAGTAGATCAGAAGTTTTTGAAATACTCAGACCAGCCCTTCTGGGACCAACAACCATGCCATGTTCAAAGGCACTTAAATCCCCTTTCTTCCCCATTCTAATGCTCGGTTTGAACTTCAACAAGTCATCTTCACTCTAGATGTCTAAGGCTATGTTCACACTAGCCTTGTGCGCAGGCGGCAGAGAGGCGTTTGGGAAGCGTTTTTACCGCTTCCCAAACGCCTCTGCCAATTCTGCACATTACAGCACATGGTGCTGTTCTAACGGGAGTGTTTGCGTCGCGTTGCATCGCGGCAAAACGGACGCCTCTGGACGAGTCAGGAGGCTTTGAAGCCTCCTATTCTTGTCTATGGTGCCGCTCCGCAAATGCCCGGCCGGCGTTTGCGGTGCGGTTGCGACGCGGTTGCGGGGCGTTTGCGGAGCGGTAACACCACTCAAACTGCATTATAGGCGTTTGTGGGGCGTTATTAACGCTCGGCAAACGCCTAGCAACCGCCGCTAAACGCGTTTGCGGAGCGTTAAAAAACGCTCCGCAAACGCCGGACCAACGCTTGCCAAACGCTATAGGGGCGTTTGGCAAGCATTGGCAAAACAGCCTAGTGTGAACGAGCCCTTAATGCATTGAGTTGCTGCCATGTGAATGGCTGATTAGCAGTTTGTGTTACCAAACAATTGAACAGGTGTACCTAAAAAAGTGGGCGGTGAGTGTATATTTCCTGGTGACCCAATTGCAACACATGTGTGGATGGGGAGAACTGGAAAAGTTTCAGGGACTTTTTCCTTGCATTTTCTGTAGGTGCAGCAGCCCGTTCAAACGAATGGGCTGCTGTGTCCCCACAAACGTGACTAATGGAACCCAGCCACCTATGCAATGATTGTACAATGATATTCATTATATATGGATTGCTAAAACCTGGGTCTGAATGCAGCTCAGG